CCCCCGCTCCCCCCCCGCCGCTCTCATCCCCAGCATCCCCGAGCACGAGGAGTTCTCCGACTACAACCTCCTAGTCCCTTGCCGGCGATGCTCCTCTGTCTCCGACGGCCGCCGCTCCTCCTCCTCCTCCTCCAACGTTCAAGTCCTCGGGAAATTTCAGCTGAAGCTCTCTTCACTGTTGCGTTCTCTAATCAACATCATCAACATACCCACCTGCAAATTCCTCTCCCTTCCGTCGCCACCGTCGTCCGCCGGCGCTGGACAACTCATCACCATCGCCACCGGAGGAGGGTCTTCTTCCCTCGGGAGGAGAGTCACGGGGACGTTGTACGGACACCGCCGAGGCCACGTCACCTTCGCGGTGCAATACGACCCAAGATCGGACCCGGTTCTGGTTCTTGAGCTTGCAATGTCCACCGCAGCCCTCGTCAAGGAGATGTCGTCGGGACTCGTCAGAATCGCTTTGGAGTGCGAGAAACGTCCTCCGGCGGCGGAAGAGGCTGCGGAGCGGCGGAGACGAAGGCCGGTGAAGCTTTTCCAGGAGCCGATGTGGACTATGTACTGCAACGGGAAAAAGTGCGGGTACGCGGTTTCACGAGGCGCGTGTAACGAGTCGGATTGGCGCGTGTTGAACACGGTGTCGAGGGTCTCCGTCGGCGCCGGTGTTATTCCGGCGGAGAAACACATCGGAGGAGGTGCAGCGGCGGCGGAGCTGGGTGAGTTGCTTTACATGAGAGGGCGGTTCGAGCGAGTCGTGGGAAGCCGTGACTCGGAGGCTTTCTACATGATGAACCCTGATAAAAACGGAGGCCCCGAACTCAGTATTTTTCTACTTAGAATATAAAAAAAGAATTGTTTTTTAAAAATGGCCAAAATCGAAAGCTATTGACTTTTTAAAAAAATAAGAAAAATAAATATGTAATAGAAAAGGAATTGTTGCGTAATGAAATATGTAAGTGATAGTGACTTAATTTCAATAGTTTTTTTTTTTGTTTTGGTTTGGTTTGGTTTAGTTCATGTTCATGTACGGTCCTGTTTTGATTTTGTTAAATGTGAGAAAAGCTTATCAAATTGCATGCAAAGGCATGAAATGAAGATCCCCCACATGGTCCGTCATGATTATTGCCAACAAGATTCCTTATTCTTTTTATTATCTTTATAACAGTATTAAATCACGGCTAATTTTGCTTTTACGCGTTATGTTTCTGTTCATCCATTAAATTATATTACTTAAAAAAAGCAGGTTTGCTTTTGAGTTGTAACAAAATTAATTAACAATTAAAAAATACAGTTTGATCCAAGCACAAGAGATTATAGACGTACGGACAAATTTCAATTACGTTACCGGTCCATACAATGACATATTACATGCATATACTAAGCTGATATTGTATGTATAACCCACTGTGACATATGGTGATTTTTCTCCAAATGACTAATAATTATTTAAAAATACGTGTTTTCGCACCTTATAAAACGATTTAAAATAAAATTAGTTGTTTGTTAAATTTAAAATTCTTAATAGCTTCATCAAAAAGTATCCAGAATTGCAAAAACTAGAATATGGAACGTAAATGTCCGAGCCATAGATTTTAGGATAAAGTTGTGATTTCGAAGGAAGATATCACATTAAATAAAAGGATCGAAAAAAATTATATGGGGAAAAAATAAGAAAAGTGCCGAGATAAATTTTAAAATAGTGGGGTCAAAATTAAAGAGATAATAAATGATGGGGTGGGATTGTGAGGGCAGAGAAAGTGGAAAGCAAAGCCCACAAGGGTTGGCTTTGGTGGACAAAGTCGAGGGAGTAATCATAAGCCGCAAAGCCATTTCTCTTCCCTTCATTTAAGGAGAACATAACTTTGTCTTGTTTTCCTGACCACGTATACGTATACGTATTCATTGGCAATTAATTTACATATTAATGGCTAAATGATTTATATATTACTATTTTTATAGAATTTAAATTAATAGTGACATATAAATTGTAGTATATATAATTTATAATAGTATGTATACACGTATTTATCTGTCCGTCCGTATAGATGATTCTAGATGCATTTAACATATATACACACATGTGTGTGTGTATATATATATATAACGAGTGAGGAACTCAGAATTTTTTTTTATAAACGATATTATATAAATAACAAAAAATACATTATAAAAGTTATAAAAAAATCATTACAAAAAATCTGCGCGTATCGTAGAGGACCGCGGGAACGTTACTATAGGGAGAAGAAAGACATTTACCCATTCTTATCAATTTAGCTAACTATAATTGAATCGTATGTCTATATAATATATATATATATATGCACATATATATAAATATATAATATAAGTTGGAGGTCTTATACATATGCACCATATACATAGTATAGTGAGAGATTCACATTGCTTTCATATGCATACTCCACCATATATATTTGGCACATACATATAATCCATGATGTATATATAATGATAATGATCTTATAACTATATATATATACACATATATAATGGTTAGATTAGATCGTCGTTTTTTGATAGTTAGGTCCTGTATAGCAAATGTGCGACTGTAATCATGATAAAATAATTAATTACAAAAACCTTTAAACTACGTCCATTACACATTTTTCTTGTATACGCATCTGCATATGTATATGTATATACCTATACATGTTCTATTACATGTATATTTAATTATATATAATATCGTATCACATTAATACAAATTGGATATTTGCGCTTTTTTCCTGGCAAATCTAAACTGTATCGTCTTCGTGCTTTTATAATTTATCTGTATATATAGATATATTTTTATGGGCGTGTGCGCATATGTGAATGTTTTTGCATTGTCTCGAAAATATCTCATGCCTGATATTTTGGATAATTGCGCCTTTTCTCTGGCAAATCTGAATTGTATATCGCCTCCGTCATTCTGTCACTCTGCGAATACACATACACGTATATATATATATACATACTTGTGTATGTGTGTATGATAATGTATCTAAAATATCTCATGCGCCCTTCAATATTTTGGATAATTGCACTTTTTTTCTGGCAAATCTGAACTGTATATCGTCCATGTCACTATGTGAATAAACACATACATACGTTTACATATTATAAATATATATATATATATATATATAATATGCTTTACACATTATTTGTTTTTATCATCATCATCGGTGTTTAATGTGGATCGGGTCTCCACGTAATTTGGTTGTTGATAAAAATTTAATATGAAAATGCATGTCACCTACCAGAAAAGGGTATATAAATTACGAGTAAATTAAAACTAAAGTCAGTGGTCAAAGGATTCATTTGGCATACGGATCCAATGCACATGGGAGATATGAGATTTGCTCCCATCAAAATTATAAAAATATATAATATCTCTTTTATGTATTATAAATTCTACACGAAAGTAATATATAATTAATAATTAATAGATGGATGCATGACTCATGTGTACTAATACATGACTGCATGAAAAACTCTAATGCAAAATTATAACCTTTTAAACTCTGAAAGTTAAATAGATTTAAGGCTCTGACGATTCAGATTGTAAAATAATGATTATGATTGTTATTGATAATCAAATAAATTTTAAGTATATATAATACTAAAATATAACAATACACAGATTTTAATATCAGATATTTTTATATTATTTAAATTAAAGTATATGGACATCGTTTTCAATGAAGAAAAATGACATATATAATTACGGTGACCAAAGAAATAACGGGGATAAACAAAAATAAATTTTTTTTTAACGATATGGGACTTTTTTACTATTTAATGTGAGTTTTCTGTCAACGATTTTGAGTTACTAGTATTCATATTTACAGATGCTTTCTTTCGTACGTTTATATTTATATATGTTCATATGAAACAAACATATTGTACACAAAATATATACGGACCATTTCATGATAAGGTTAACATTCGTTTAATTTGTTATATTTTATAAATTTAACCAAATTACAATAACGTACATTTGGTTACAGAATCCAAACCAACGTGTTCAATGATCCATTTATTCCGTCAAGCTATCATTTTTATTGCTTTTTTTTAATATTATGTATTATATTAACTGTTTTTCAGATTTCCATATCTATAAATATAGATAGATAGATAGATGTAGATGTATATAGATGGAATCTACAAGAGAGCCAAAAGAGAAATCAAACACTAAGAAACCTAATTAATATATGTGTTAGCTAACGAACAAAATTACTCTTTTTCTTTAAAAAAACCCGCTTACCTATTCTATTATTGGCGAATATGTGCGTATATATATATATATACATACACACAAGTCCGCGTATTTTTGTGTGTGTGCGCGTATATATAGTGTATTAATTATATTTGAAATTTAAAAACATTATCCTTACGAGCCAACAGCAATGAGAGAGAGAGTGTTTCAGTGCATGAGATATTTTTTTACGAGGATATCATATCCAGCATCGCTAAAAGATCGTTCTTGGAAACTTTTTTTTTTTTTTTTATAATCCGAAAGTTCACCGCGTCTTTGTCCAAACTACATCTCTCAGAAGCCAAACTACATCCAGCAAGCTTGAGTTCGTTTTTGGAAACTTGTACCGACAATTCATATTATTAGGGAGGGTCTAGAGACTATGTTTAATTCTTTATATATATATATATATTATGGTCTCCAATAAATTATATTTCAAATAATTAGTGGATACTTCTAAGCTTAAAAACAAATTCGCAAAGATTACATGTAAATTGCCTCGGGATATTCGACGAGGATGATCATTTCAGCCCGAGAGAGATTATGTGTGACATTTCATTTTATTTTTTTTTAAAAAGGAAAAGAAACACGTCGAGTGAGTCGGGCCCTTCAATATGACTCGCTCCTCCAATAAATTTTAGGCCCAATTAGTTTTACAAAACACAGGCCCATAGCCTGCAGAGGCAGATCCAATATTACATTATCCCCTCATTTTTTTTCTAATTTTTATGAAGATCAAATACTCAAAACCCTAAAAATCTGTCACATTTAAAAAAAAAAAAAAAATCACGAGATCTTACCTATTTTCTTTGCATTTTTTTCCCTACGAAGAAAACGATGCGTTTTATTTCTCTCTCTCTTATCATTGTTGAGATTCTCAATGGCAATGTTTCAGTAACACTGAATTTTGAATGAGCAAAAAAAATTGAATCACCAACAGATTTGGCATTTTGCCTCAAGTCTCTTTTGGTGCATATATTCTCATTTGTTGGCCTCCACGAATTCCCTGTACTCTTTCTTCATCTTCACACCGGATACAGTCCTTCACAAGAGCACCACCACCGTTCCATCACCACAAGTGACAATACAGGCAAAGGAAAAAAAAAACAAAAAAAGGAACAAAAGAAGAACCTGAGCATTTCCTTGTTCTTGAAGAACTGCACGCATGGAGTTCCCATAATTCCAGCCGCCTCGGCGATTTCTTCATCTTCTTCTATGTCTATCTCGACGTAGTGGACATTGCTGTCGAATTCATCGATCACCTTGTACGTTGCGAAATGGGCGGAGTCCATTATCAAAACTTGTGTTGTCCATGATTAGGTAGCCTAAGGACTTGCTAAATGGTTGGTTAGTACCTTGTTCAAAATAGGTTTCAGTGTCCTGCACGGACCGCATGTAGGTGATGTGTACAGTACACACACCAGCCTTGGGCTCTCATGGTATATCTTTCTAAGAGCATACTGGAAAGAACAGACCAAAAAAAAAAAGACATATCAAATGCTTTGTCATGACAGTTTAAGAATTCTTCATATATTAGCTGCTGTAAGGAAAGGGAAAAAACACCTGGCCCCTGTGCTTTGTAAGAGTGATGTCAAACCCTTCTTGGACATCGCGGCCGGTGAATTCTTTCTTCACCTCTTCAGCTTGAAGCTGCTGGTGTCACGCGGTATAAGCCCTTTTACATTGTTGCTTTGATTCTGGATAATATGAAATTCGCTCAACTTTCACGTACCTGGTGAAATTCGACGAGGAGGTTGTTACTTGCAAGGTATCTCTCGGCTAACAAGGCGGCTATGCACCCTGATCCAGCAGCAGTTATGGCTTGTCTCCATTCATGGTCCTAAATGGACAAACGGCAGAACAAGTTACAAACTTGTCAAAAAAACATGACTCCAGGAGAAGATACAAACATTAAAAAAAGATTGGCTAAACGCTTTTATGTCTTAACCTGCACATCTCCTGCTGCGAATACACCTTCCACCGATGTCTCCCCTGTTCCGTCCTGAATCGATATGTATCCTGAGCTGTCAAGTTCAACTTGACCTTCCAATAACTGGCTGTTTGGTGAATGCCCTATTCCGTAGAACAACCCTTTGGCCTCAAGCTCGGTTTCTTCACCCGTGTCAACCCGTCTGATTAAAACACCAGACATTTGTCCCCTTGTGTTGCTCACCACATCAACGGTTTCTGTGTTGAAGTGCACAGTGATATTTGGATTGTTGAATACTCTGAAACATTCGCCATAACCAACCTGTTAACAAAATACTCAGGGTGTTGAAAAAACCCAAACTTACAATATGCTCATTACTCTTTAATTCAACACAAAGAAAGAAGCCTAGTGCCGGTAAGAATCCAAAAGCGGTGTAAAGGTTGCCTATTGATTTGGAATGAAACTTGAGGCCAAAGAAGACTTTCCTAAACATTTCCAAGATAGGAGCAAGCAACAACTTCATAACTTTTGATCGTAAACATTACACAACGAGTGCATCACTTTGCAAAGACGATAATTGTCAAGAAAACTGTACATAACCGTTTTCTGTTTCAGTTTCCTCCGACCTAAACCTGAGATGCCTCTCTCCTAATACAATGCCCATATGCTAGATCCGTTTTCTCCATGGATATAATTTGACCCGTATTGCTCCAAAATCCAGAGAAGAAACACAATATAAAAAAGGATTTTGAAACACATAATAAAAAGATGCTGATGAAAGAACCTGAAAGAATTCACCTATCTTGCATAGCCTTGGAGGCTCTCAATTGGTCCCTACGAACAAGCAGATGAACATGACGAGCATATTTTGTGAGGTATAAAGCTTCTTCTGTAGCTGTATCTCCTCCACCAACCACTGCAAGCACTTGTCCCTTAAATAAAGGCGAAGCTCCATCACAGATTGCACAAGCGCTGATTCCCCTGCTCCAGAATTCATCTTCTCGAGGTAGCCCCAGCCTCCTTGCTGTAGCTCCTGTGGCGTAAATGATACTCTGGCACTTAACCTGGAAGTTCAACCCAAAAGGGCAGCCACCAACAGAGAAGTACAGTAAATAAGAGCTCATGCACAAGAAAATTTACTGAACAATCAAGCCATCTAATTAGGCAAGATTGTGTAGCGTATACTCTACTCCAAGGCCTATACACATCATAGACTAACTGCAAATTTGTTTTCACCAAAGTTTGCGCATTTCGAATTCTATAAACGATCTCCAGTGCCAATGCCATTTTGGTTATACGTTATACTGGTTATGCATTTTCACTTCTACATGGATTGCCAAAAGAGTAACATACCGAAAACGACAATCACCTTACGTTCACTGCTTTTCACTGTAAAAGGAGCGGTCTTAACATCGAGAACTTCCACATCTTCCGGATATAGCTCCGCTCCCCACCTCTCAGCCTGCTTCCTCATTCTACCATCATCGCAACAACATTGCCTCAGATATTATCTCACAAGAGTAACATTAATCAGTCCAGACACTAACAACAACGTTAAATTTATGTTCTTGGTTCTGTCATGTTTCTCACCTCTCCATCAAATCCGGACCAGTAATCCCATCAGGGAATCCCGGGAAATTCTCAACCTCGGTGGTTGTCATCAACTGTCCGCCGGGAACTCCGCCCATCTGATAACCCTCGAACACCACCGGCTTCAAATTCGCGCGCGCCGCGTATATCGCCGCCGTGTATCCGGCGGGGCCGGAGCCTATAATCACCACATTCTCCACAGTTTCGCCTGAAAATCGGACCATAACACAGCTCGATTACTGTCTCGTCGAAGTGGCAATGTCATAAACAAGCAAATGTCTGGTGGCATAAACAAGATAAAAGAAGACACAGACCTGGAGATGAAGGCGCGTCGCTGGCGGCGGCGGAGGCTCTGAGGCGGAGGGCGGTGGAGCGAGTTTCGCCAGCTCGGAGGAGGCAGAGTGTCCGGAGCCTATAATCACCACATTCTCCACAGTTTCGCCTGAAAATCGGACCATAACACAGCTCGATTACTGTCTCGTCGAAGTGGCAATGTCATAAACAAGCAAATGTCTGGTGGCATAAACAAGATAAAAGAAGACACAGACCTGGAGATGAAGGCGCGTCGCTGGCGGCGGCGGAGGCTCTGAGGCGGAGGGCGGTGGAGCGAGTTTCGCCAGCTCGGAGGAGGCAGAGTGAGCGGCGACGAGGCTTGGTTGTGAGGAAGAACAGCGCAGGCGGAGAAAGAGCGGGCATGGTGGCGACTCGGTGAGTCGACACGGAGCCGATTTCGATGCCTATCTTGGGAGACGCAGCCATTCTGCTTCCAGACCATACGATGACTTGGAAGTAAAAACCGATTTCTGTAGCTGCGCGATTGCGTTTCACGCGCCTCGGTATTCTACATACTCTTCTCTCGCGAGTATGGACCAACATATTAACTCGCTCGCTCTGCTAAATCCTCGGTGGGAAGGATTTTCAGCCGTTGATCCTGTGATAACTTTCTTGATGAAAAATCGACGGTGCAGATGTGCGCATCTGAGCTGATGCCGACTCCGACTCACAATTGACGATTTTGCCCTTTCACTATTGGGCCTAAAATGGGCTTGATATGCGCTCTCGGCTAACATGATGAATATTGGGCATATGTGTTTAGAAACATGATGGATTAGGTCTATAATATTTTATGTTTTATTTTTTAATATTTTGACCATACGATTCAAATCACAAATAAGTTTTAATAACTAATAGAAATAGTAATAACGGTTGATCATCTAAGTAACAGCGGATGATGATGAAAAATACGATATTAAAAATTCTTTTATCCAATATATACAGAGTGAAAAATATGATTCGTTTGGTTGTTCATACGTGAAATAGGTTGTGTGGGAACGAGACTTAGGGTTGGTGAAGAAGGGACACATTAATATATTAATATATAATAAATAATCATTTTAAAAATAGGATAAATAAGAAAATTTAAGAAAGAAAACATAAAATAAGGTCAATAAAGTTCAGCTGCATGCCCAACCAAATAAAATAGCTTTATTTTTACTCTTTCTTCAGAACGTGTCTAAATTCCTTGAATATCAAATTGGAATTTTCTTACGCTATTCAAAAGCTGTTATTTTTATTTATTTATTTATTTATTTTGCACTACAAATATGCTATTTTGGTTAAATTTATATAATCCGTATATTAATATTTTATACTGTTTAAAATACGACAAAATTCGGACTTAAATTCATCGTTTATCTTTTATGTATACACGATTTGGTTTGATTCAACATTAAATTTAAATTTTTTTTATTGATAAAAAACTTCATACTTGTGTGAGAAATAGACGGAATATATATGGATTTTACAATTTTTAGAGACCTAAAGGTATTTATATTGCGTCCTATTAATTTTTTTATAAAAGGGATGAAGTTTGGAATTTCAGATTATAATTTACAGATACATAAAAATTGGTTTTTTTTTCTTTCTAAAATTTAATAATTAATCTTTTATTTTAGAAATAAATTTTCTATGATTCTAGGGACACTGTCGGCAATTCCTTTTAGTGTTGACGCCAAATGCTCATTTGGTATTTTTTCTTGAAAAATAAATGCATTTGGTTGTTTGACCAATTGCTTGAAGTGACACTGCTCCTTAGGTTTGGATAAAATGTCCAAATTAAGACACTATTGTTCACATACATATTCTACATGTTCATATACTTTTGGTCACTATATATATTTTTGGTTAAATATATATATATATATATATAAAGGAAATGAAGAGTACAGAATATAGGTAGAAGAAGAAGAAGGAAAGGCATGCATGCAAGTCAAAAAGGAGAAGTCATCAATCTTGAAAGATAAAGTGAAGTCCAAAGAAAATGCGTAAATGTCACTGCACCTATAAGACAACGTTACTTCCATGACGAAAAAAAAAAATAGAAAGTTCTCCGTCTGTATTCTATTTCTTTTTTTTCTTTTTAATTTCCTGTATCTCTAAATAGTAAATACTATTCCTTTAATTAAGACCAATTTTGCACATTATATATATATATATATATATATGTATTGAAAGTATCAGCCATATAGAGGACCAAACTAATTACGTCATCACATTTTCAATCCCCTTCTTTCGTTGTGTGCCGCACTACCTAATTTACCTTCTATTATTACATAAATACATACACACATAAATGTATACATATATAGATATGTATAATTTGTGATATTGAAGAGTATATAGAATGCCAAAAATATTTTCTATAATATTATAGTAGTATGTGTTTCGCTATGTATATTTTAGATATTCCTAATTTATGTATCTTGTATACATACGTATTTTTGTTTTAGTTTATTTGATTTTCCGGAACTTTTTAAAATATAGACCAACTAGTTTAATATTGCATATTTTTTCAATCATGTTTTTTGAATTTAGAAGTTTATAATAATTTTTTTAAAAAATCATCATATTTTTTCAATTTGTTTTTAGGTTTACTCCACCTACGTAAATATATAAATACATGTGTAATTAAGTGCTTGATACAAAATGTGATTTTCCTTATCTTTTTCTATAACAAATTGATGTCCCATTTCATCAAATATTTATGATCAACTTGTCTAATACATAATAATTGAAGGAACTAATTTTCCATAATCAATTCCGGTTGTTAAATTTTCTACGCGCACACACGCAAGAATTTTATAATAGATAGAAAATGGCACACGGTTGCAGCAACAAATGGATATATACACACACACACACACACTCATATATATACACACACATGCATACGTGCATGTAGATAAATAAACGTCACCATATACACCTTACTAAGTACGACCCAACAACATAAAATTACGGGACTCTCTCTCTCTCTCTCTCTCTATATGTATATATATATATGTATATTGTATGTGCATGTCAATTCGCATGAACCACGGAGTCTTGTTGGGTTTCAATTGTTAAAACCACCATATTTCTCTTATCAAGAATAACATCAATTTGGTCAAATAACACTCTCTGAATGGAGCAATCTGCTGTTCCGGCGGAGGAGGAGGAGGAGGGGGAGGAGGAGTGGATGGGGGGGAGATCTCTCTATATGTATATATATATATGTATATTGTATGTGCATGTCAATTCGCATGAACCACGGAGTCTTGTTGGGTTTCAATTGTTAAAACCACCATATTTCTCTTATCAAGAATAACATCAATTTGGTCAAATAACACTCTCTGAATGGAGCAATCTGCTGTTCCGGCGGAGGAGGAGGAGGAGGGGGAGGAGGAGTGGATGGTGAGGAGATCGGAGCAGTCGCCGCCGCCGTTCTTGGTGAAGACTTATGCGGTGGTGGAAGATCCGGAGACGGATGACGTCATCTCGTGGAACGACGACGGCACCTCCTTCGTCGTCTGGCAACCGCCGGAATTCTCCAGAGATCTCCTCCCTAAGCTCTTCAAGCACTGCAACTTCTCCAGCTTCGTTCGTCAGCTCAACACTTACGTACGTTCACACCTTTTCCCCATCGTATCTCATTACTATACGCGGTGGTGGAAGATCCGGAGACGGATGACGTCATCTCGTGGAACGACGACGGCACCTCCTTCGTCGTCTGGCAACCGCCGGAATTCTCCAGAGATCTCCTCCCTAAGCTCTTCAAGCACTGCAACTTCTCCAGCTTCGTTCGTCAGCTCAACACTTACGTACGTTCACACCTTTTCCCCATCGTATCTCATTACTATACGCACGTGGGTGTAAATATTCATGCAAACGCATGCACCATATTTGTGTCTGTATATGCTGAAACAGCGGGGTTGCGACATGGAAGCAGTATCTAGAGAGAGAAAGAAAGAGAGAGAGAGAGATTTAGCTTCCTGCTTGTGGGCTTGGTTTGTATAGATTATAGAAATCATTATCTGGAAATGATTTTTGGCATAATAACGAAAGTTTTCATAAATTAGGGTTTTAGGAAAGTGTCAGCGGGAAGGTGGGAGTTCTGGAACAAGATGTTCCGGAAGGGACAGAGAGAGCTTCTATGCAACATACGGAGAAAGAAGGCTCACCCTCACCATGCTTGCGATCCGACCACAAGTACTCCACCTCGACGAGATGATCAACGGTCATCTTCATCAGCTTCCTCGTTGTCAAGCTACTCAAACCTTCTGGACGAAAACAAGCGTCTCAGGAAAGAGCATGGATTCTTGACCACAGAGCTCGCCATGACCAAGATGAAGTGCAAGGAGCTTCTGGAGTTGACCGAGAGATACAAGACAACGCCCGAGGAAGAGGAAGAGGAAGAAGATGGGCTAAAGCTATTTGGTGTGAAGTTGGAATGAGGAAATATATAGCAGTTTGCTCATCTGTGCTATAGATTTTGATTGCAGATCACTTGAAAGTGTCTGTAAGTTGCGTAGATGTCTATATACACATAGACCCTAAACTCGGCCTTTTCTGCAGTTTCTACATGTATTTGCCATGTTTACACCATTGCAGATCATTGGCTGAGCTGATGAATGGGTGAGGTTCTCAGGAGGAGTTAGCTGCAAAATGGTTGAATATAGTCTCGAGGGTCGATTGGCCAACGCTGTATTCCGCTATTCCCAATCGGTTCCTGAACAGATCAAAACCATTCTTTTCCGTTTCAGTTGTCAAGAAATGGCAAGTTTCCGGGTCAAAGAGAAAGAAGCAGATATATGTTTCACCTGTTTCTTTCGAGGTATCCAAAGGCATCTGCAAGTGACAACCCGCCTTCTCCGAATGGTAACTGAAATCGAAACCATGAACTGTTTTCAGAACCTAAACTGACGAAAAGCTAAACACCAGATGCTGGAACGTGAGAAAGGAAAAGGGTTTTACAATGACCCAGACAGCAATAATATACCTGATACTTAATGCTCAATCCATTGCATCCCTTAAACGTTGCACCGGGAAATGAAGACTGAATGAAAGAATCTAGTGCTGAGAAGTTCTCTTTGGATAACCACCACTCGGCGAATATGGGCAGCGGTATACCGCCTGTACACAGGTCAAACCAACACTGAAACATGTCAGAGACCGAACACTGAAACCTAAACAGGTCAAACCACAACACTAAAACATGTCAGAGATCGGGTATTCTTATCCAAATCTAGACATAGGTGTGGAATTGGTCCTACCATCCCGAAACAGCTGCTCTAATAACTGTTCACCAGACCGCCCATCATTCTCAGACATGGGAGATACAAGTGTGTTTACTCTTCCCTCGTTACCGAGAAACTGTGCAATGCTTTTTATCATTTCTACCGACAAGCTGATTTCTGATGCAGATGCAGTCTCGGGTATAATTGAGTCGGAAACGCCAATACAAACTTCGAGGTCACCAAGTAAGCTTCTTGGATGCGAAGGAAGGTTAAACAGCCACTGCTGAATCATTTGGCAAAAGTTCTCCAAGTCCACACGTCTTACTTCGTTAGGTTTCACCTAATATACATATAAGAACAAACATTGATAATAAATTATGGGAAAGTAACTTCTAAGAATCTCTTTCATGAAAGCAAACCCAATAATGTTGAATAGTACCTCTAACTCAAGATGGTTACCGAAGCGTGTCTTCAAATGCTGTGGACTACCAATGCATCTAAGGCGGCCTCCGACCTGTCATTAATGGACATTGATAGCTCTGTAAGGTGGAAACAATTCCTAAAAATTTCGGAATGACTTAATGTAATACCATGATTCCGATCCTGGTGCAGAGAGCTTGAGCTTCATTCATGCTGTGGGTAGTCAGAATAACTGCAGTCTTTCCTCTCCTAGTTGATAACCGGGATATCACGTCCCACATGAATCTTTTGGCAACAGGGTCCATACCTGAAAGCATTTCATAAACTGTTAATGGAGCAGCTAAGTAGTTCAGATCCAAAGGGAAGTCCATGCCGGCCGGCTTTTCTAAATTAGATGGTTAATCATCATGACCACCCACCCACCTGTAGACGGTTCATCGAGAATGACAATGGGAGGGTCTCCAATCATTGCAATCGCGACTGATAATTTACGTTTGTTTCCTCCGCTAAGGGTAAATGATGGCTTGTTAGCATGCTTCAACAAGTCAAACTCCACCATCTTTTCTGTAACCACCTGTTCATAGCAAATGCTCATCAGACAACCTAGCAACTTCCACTTTGATAGAAAACGCCTTGTAGACTTGATTCAAATCTTATCGTAGATCAAATACTTAAAGGGTAGCTAAAGGTGTTTGTCTTAAACAACAGAAGATGCACATGCATGATTATGCTACTACTGGATAGTCCAACAACTTCACAAGGCAATGAACCAAATGAGACAACAGCGTGTGGAAAAGGGGGAGTCCTCATACATATATAGCAGGACGGTGCTTGTATTTGTCTAGTGCTTCAACTCATCAAGACATGCAAACCGAGCAACAGAAAGTTATGTATGAGAAGATTTACGTACGTTATCAATTCTATGATTCACAACTCCTTTGATCCTTGCATAGAGCTCAAGGTGCTCCTTTACAGTCAAATGTTCAAATAATGCATCAAACTGGGGGCAGTAGCCAATCTGAAAAGCCAACGAAACAGAATCTTTACAGTCATCCAGAACATTTTACATTTAATAAGATCAACAAATCAGAAGGGCAAAATCAACGAAAGACATACGTGCTGACGGATAGCTTTTGGACTTGCCACTATGTCTTTGCCAAAGACAAAAGCAGTCCCGCTAGTTGGAGTTTCTTCTCCTATCGAGTCCAAAGAAGTGAGAAACGAATATTACTACCAGATTCATAGTACATCAATAATATCTAAAAATACAAAGAAATATGCACATACCAGATAACATAGACAAGGTGGTAGTTTTCCCAGCTCCATTTGTACCTAAAAATCCAAAACATTCTCCTGCTTGGACCGAGAAAGTTAAGGACTGTACAGCCACTTTTGGGCCATGATATTTGGTGCCAGGATAAACCTAAAACAATTATACTATGAGCAAGGGGATGGACCAATGTTGTTAACACATTTGAGAAAAAACGGACCATACTACAATACCTTCCGTAAGTTTCGTAAGTAGCATATGGCATTGTCAGTAGAACCTGAGAGCACCCTGGCTCTTTCATTTTGCACATCTACATCATCCTCAATATCGAGTAAAACTCCATCTGGTGAATCCTTGAGAAGTGGCTCTAAATGACCAGACCCCCCAGCACTGTGCTTGAGAACTTTAGAGTTCTGCCACCAATCGCTTATGGAGATAGACATTATCTTTTGAACAGGCAAGAGCTCAAGACCAAGTGTCACAAGGAAGTAGAAGATACTCTGTCATATATAAGAAAGTTTGGACATATGACTCATTTGTGAGTATGCATGGGAAAGTAATGACAGTAAACAAAGATCGACCGCATGATTAAGTTCATTAAGATTACAAATTCATTGATACCTATGTTGTTATGATGGATTCTTTACTAGTAACTGGTTCTGCATTCCAAAATGACACGCGCGAGCAAATTCAAGTACAGGAGAAGTTCTTACCTCAAGACCTAGATAACAGATTGATGCTCCAGTCACATTCCAATCTAAAACCCCGTGACTGGATTTGTCTTTCATCCCTTGCCTTAGAAGAGCTAATGAAGCCAGTCCATCAGAGAAGCAAAATCCCGGTGATAATCTGAAGTAGTTCTGTAGAAGCATAAGGAAAACAAGAAGCATAAGCCTTTATTATAGTCTGTTTATATAAGCTATCAGGGTCAGGAAGTCCAAAGAGCAAGCAGAATACTGAATAGTGTTTTTTCATCCTATGATGTCTAAGTAAAGTAAAGCTTCTTGAACATTTCCGCATGCAGCCACATGAGACATGGAATTTTCTTACAAGTAAGAGAAGGATTACAAATACTGAGAAGAAAAAGATAAATAATAAAGACTGAACCTTTAGAGATGAATTTGCACTAGCAGTTGCCGGGATAAGGCCCATAACAAAGGAGATGACCATAAGAATAAGACCAGTGAAAAAGTGAACCAAAAGAACAACATTCTGCAGTTACAGCAAAGATGTGTCATCCATCTGACCTCAAAAAGGGGGAAATGTAGAAGAAAAATATGTGAAGAGTAAATAGGAGAGTTACCTGAGCCATGCTATGTTCAGAAAAGAAAAATGTTAGGCAATATGTTGAGGATGCAATTGCCAAGCCATACTCCAAGAACATAATGACAGTTGGGACAAACCGACCAATTCCAATAAACTGCTCTAGACCTAAAGCAGAAATCAGTTGTTTCAGTAAGTGAATTAAATTCAGGTTAAAGAAAACATATGTATGTTGAGAAAATGAAATGGCAGCATTGACTTACCAAAAATGTAGAAGAGGATCATCGCAAATGTTGAAGGAAATAAGAAGCTGACGAAATCCCATATGTATGTTGATACCCAGTATGAGAAGACAGAAACCTGAAAGCCAAATAAGATCATTAGGCAAGCATTATGTTTAGGAGTACCTAATGGTCTAAGATTTTCTCCCCATCAATGCCTACCCCACTAATAAGCTGTTGGTGCTTTGCTTTAACTTCGCGCTCCTGCACCAGTTACAATCCCATTATGTACAGTTATCCCAATAAAAGAGAGGTTGAAGAAGGATAGGATGTACAAACATTAATTTCTACTTTGAGGGTGGACCTTGTCTACATACCTTAACAATGGGGACAGCGAAAGAGGCTGGGATAAATGAGAATGCAATGTTAACAATAATTGCAGCAGAGAAAGCATCCAAATCCTACATTGAGAAGGGGAACAAATTATCAGAAGCGGCTAACAAGAAGGGATCTTTTATCTCTAAAGAAAAAAATATCAAAATGTCATAGATGATTAGTTTTCACAATGTCTTCAGCTAAATAACAATAAGTAGAGGTCTTCAACGAAGATTCAGTGTAACCAGCATGAGTGAACCCATCAAGATTTCCAAACATAAGGACGGAACTGTACCGTAATAAAACATCGTGTCAAAGCCATTGAGAACTAATTCAAATGAAAGTAACATACATGACGTTGTAAATGCTGGCTTTTTGTTGTAGGCAAGGGATGGTTGTGCGTTCGGATTGTCATATTCTTGTTACGGGTAGCAAGTCTAAGAATTGCAGCATTCATAACATTGATGTAGATTGGACCGGCATGCTGACAAGTACTGTTGTGTAAAACAGTGTATCCTAAACTCCCATCTGGATACTGGCCATCCATTACAATTGCCCCATACCTAAAATGAAATGGACTCCCATGCATGCCTTAGACAACTAGAAATATCATATAACAAATCCAGCATAGACTTCCCAATGAAGTCAACAACTCAGAAAAATCAAAATGCAAATAAAATTATTCACCTAAATGGTAAGTAATAAATACGTTGACAATATAAGGTGTGCCCAACACATTTAAACAAGATTTCGAAACACACGTTAGATAAGGGAGCTCAGATTGTATAAAGTTGACATTGTGCTGACTACAGAGAACAATGTTCAGTGGTGCTGACTATAAAGTTGACATGGTGCTGACTACTTGACAATTTTAACTCAACTACTAAATCATGAATCTATTACTGCCAAGATAAATATCTGGCGCGAAAACACAAACAAATCATGTTAGGTACAGGCAGACATACCTTGACTGGTAGGATTGATTGAAGCTAGACATCAAGAATTTACTCATTGAAAGTAGAGTGGGCCCCAATGTGGGACCTGCGGCATCAGTAGCATCAGCTAACGCCTTTTCTGGATCAGGAAATTTATACGAGCAATTCCTCAAGGGCTGAATCCAGCCTCCTTCAATATATTCTGCAACCTGAATAGAAGGTTATCAGAGAAGAAAATTTAATTGGATGTCAAAAAGATGAACTTTATCCATAGTGCAGTGATCTACGATATATTTGCTCAAGTATAACAAGCCCATATACTGTGGAAGTACTGCTTCATCCACCACCTCGATGGACCATGTGTTAACTTGTAAAGTTAACATCCCATCTTATATTCTTCTATAGACATTAACTAACTATAACCAGTGATTGAGGAAGAAATATTAGCCGAAAAGTCACCACTGAGACTATACTATGCAATCCATTGAAGAAACGGAGCAAACTCTTGGAAATTTCTTGCATTATTTTTATGAAATCATAGTAATTACAGAGCAACATGATTTCATTTTGCCATATAACAGTATAATGATTACCATAAAATAAAAGGGAAAAAGGATATAAAGAGATGCAAGTGAAGATTCTAGTTTAACAATAGCAACATGCTTCCAGGAAGAAAACTTTACAATATCTATTCCAAACAATAATAGACAAACCTCATTGGCAATAGGGTGAGATAAATCAAAGGGAATAGGGCCACCACCACCGCTGCTAGTCAGGAGAGGGTTGAAATATGCAGTTGTGAGTGTTATGGAGTTCTGATCAGGATGTGGCTTAAGCTGAAGAAAAAGAAGGCCAAAAAGCAAGAAGACGACCGGAATGATAAGCTGGAAAGCCACTGTTTTCCTGTCTCTGCCAGCAGATCTTGCTCTCTTTATGAATAATGCTTTGCAATGTCGCCAAAATGTTGACCTTGAGATTATGCAACAACAACAGCATTGCATACTTATGAAACCAACGAAAGTCCAAACCATAACAGCAACCCAACTGCAAGCTTTTGCAATTGTAGTAACCATAAGTCCAGCAACCTCATTACAACCTCTGAGCAGTTTCGATTGTAGATTTCCCTTTGGGGGGGATTCAGAGCAGACCCTAGAAACTGCAGAATCTGGAGGGAAGAAAATGTTACCCTCCTCAACCGATTCATCAATGTTTAAGTTAGCGCCAGCAACTCTTAAGAACACTTCCTCAAGTGTCGTTATGGATATACCATAACTTTGGATACCAGGATAGCTCAAACCCTCTATCTCATTAATTCTTGAGCTGTCAACAGATCTTTTCATGCAACTCTCAATTTCCCTAAACATGTCTTCGAAGCAGGGTGAAGATGCCAAGGGAAGCTTGAAAGATATCTCATTGCCCACCTGAAAAGATCACCAATCATAAATATGATGCAGCTATAATATAAATCAACTAGAAATGAACCATGCTCAAAACCTCCAGAAAAGCGGCAGATTTGTTCTACACATAATATAAACAGCCATCAACCTGCTTCAGTATCCAATCTTTGGGGACTTAAGTCCTGGGTTGAAAGATTCTCAACTGATGAATCTTTCACATTAGAATTTCAGATAATTTGCGAGCTACCATACAAAGCAAATACAAGACATTTGTTCCCCAGCATCCCCACTAGATGGGGATACGAACTGGGTTGGTCCTTTTTAATGTATTAGATGCTTAGATGCTCTGCAATCTACCTTAGAGAAGAAATACTATACCTCACTCACACACGTTGCTGATGGGATGTGACGATGAACTATACTTGCTGCAACAGAGACCGTTGGAGAAGACTAGAAAGAAAAAGCAAAGATAAAGCTAGTAGTTGCTTTGGAAATCATAAAGGAACTCAGAAATGATAGAGGAGAGAGCAATATGTATCAGACAATATGTCAGATGTACAGAGTAAGAAGAAAAAGGAACAAACCTTTACTAGAGTAAGAGTATAACCAACCCCATAATGGTGCTTAAGGAAAATCGAGCTGTTCAAGCATAAAAATCCAACATTGAAGGTTGTGTTAAAAGGTCAACCATCGACTCAAGAAAATAGCTCCATCTAATTACTAAAGTTGGATGGAGGAAAGAAAAATAGAAAAATAAAGGGTACATCACATACACACAGAATATACAGTGCAAATGCAACTAGGAACTTCTTGAAGACAAGCCATTGCATGCAAAATCTACTTAAACCTCATTTGCTTCTAGGACCCAAATTTAGTTACGTAATCTTAGGTATATGTTTTTACTTTATATCCAAATTAAACTACATGGAAACTTCTGTCTCAAGTTTCAGTATTTAATATCCAAAATAAACTAAACAATCCAAGGGGAATGCCTGTTTCCGTTTATGTTAAATATATTCTAGTGTCCCAGAAACAAGCCAGTCATTTTCCACTTGCTAGCCAGTTTTAGAGGAACGAGGGGAAACAAGGGAGGGGATGGACCAATGTTGTTAACACATTTGAGAAAAAACGGACCATACTACAATACCTTCCGTAAGTTTCGTAAGTAGCATATGGCATTGTCAGTAGAACCTGAGAGCACCCTGGCTCTTTCATTTTGCACATCTACATCATCCTCAATATCGAGTAAAACTCCATCTGGTGAATCCTTGAGAAGTGGCTCTAAATGACCAGACCCCCCAGCACTGTGCTTGAGAACTTTAGAGTTCTGCCACCAATCGCTTATGGAGATAGACATTATCTTTTGAACAGGCAAGAGCTCAAGACCAAGTGTCACAAGGAAGTAGAAGATACTCTGTCATATATAAGAAAGTTTGGACATATGACTCATTTGTGAGTATGCATGGGAAAGTAATGACAGTAAACAAAGATCGACCGCATGATTAAGTTCATTAAGATTACAAATTCATTGATACCTATGTTGTTATGATGGATTCTTTACTAGTAACTGGTTCTGCATTCCAAAATGACACGCGCGAGCAAATTCAAGTACAGGAGAAGTTCTTACCTCAAGACCTAGATAACAGATTGATGCTCCAGTCACATTCCAATCTAAAACCCCGTGACTGGATTTGTCTTTCATCCCTTGCCTTAGAAGAGCTAATGAAGCCAGTCCATCAGAGAAGCAAAATCCCGGTGATAATCTGAAGTAGTTCTGTAGAAGCATAAGGAAAACAAGAAGCATAAGCCTTTATTATAGTCTGTTTATATAAGCTATCAGCTCTGCTTCATCCATGGAATGTGTTGTTAGTAATATTATTCTGCCTTTCTTTATTTTTTTAATCAACTGCCAAGTAAGACGCATTGAGTACGGATCCATCCCACTGGTTGGTTCATCAAGAACAATCACCTGACAGCAGAAAAATGTACCACCACGATTGATTAATAAAAACAAATGAAAAATAATGTTTATAAGTGCCACTTTACCTTACTGTTCCCTATCAATGCGATTCCAAGTGACAGTTTCCTCTTCATGCCACCAGAAAGTGCTCGGACAAGTGTATTAATTTTGTCAGACAATCCCACCTAGCAATGCAAGCTGAAAACATCACCATCTAAAGCAGAATAAATAAAAAGGAATCTTACTTCAGAATAAACCTACTTCATCTGCCATATCAGCCACTGTCCTTTCTAAGGAGTCTTCTTTGACACCTTTTAGGACAGCAAACATCTCCAAATGCTCCTTAACCTACATCAGAAACAAATTGGCCAAACCTTTTCCCATTTAGTGTTACTATCTGCAGCATACAAACAAGGTTTAATGAGGGAAAAAGAAAAAAGGTCTTCGAATATTGAAGTCATCATTACCTCATTTTACAAAATTATTAGAAAGAGATGATGGAAAGTGTTCAGGAAAAATTCACAAAATACTAGAGAAACGAGTTTTCAGGAAGAATTAATGGTAACTCAGTAACTGTATATGATGTGCCATCATTCAAATTATAAGGATGTCATAAACTAGATTTGATCAATTAAAAAGAAGAAAAAGACAATGCAAGGCTCTTCACTTACTGTCAGTTCTGGAAAGAGGATGTCATGTTGAGGGCACACACCTAGTTCCTTTCGAATCTCATCCTACAGAAAGATATCCATGGCAAAGATCAACAAGGAATCGTAACAAACAAACTAAAAGGACAGAAGTGGCATAGCGAGAACAGGAGAATAAATGGCATTTCCAGCGACTCTCCAACCAAGTCATTGTAGAAAACAGAAGGCATATTTGACCATTCTGCTCTGTGTTTTAGTCATTACGCATGGAAATTTAGAATATAATAATAACACAAAAGAAAAGAGAAAAGGCTCACCATGTTTGTTAAGATATTCTTCCCAAATATCAGGGCATCTCCAGATGTTGGTGGAAGTAGACCAACAAGCATAGATATTGTTGTACTTTTACCCGCCCCATTATGTCCTTCAAAATATGAAGACCAGAATTAGAAACTCGCATATCAAAGTCCACCACATTCTTTTTACATGAGATTCTTGAATGTGTGATCATGGAGTCGTCGTGGAGACCAAGCATTCGTCGCAGAAAAGGATGCAGAAGATGATACCACGGAACAAAGAAAGGTTTTCTTCCTATTTCTCACAACTGAATTTCTCATGTAAATTAGTAGAAAGCTTCCCCGGCATAAATAAAAAGGAAGTCACAGTAAGAAAATCCAGGACAAACAAATGAAAGTGGACGGACAGCTAAACAAGACAGTGCTACTCGTCAAAACTCAGGAGTCAGGACCACTATTAGGTCTTCTTTTCCATCAATGTAGATTCAGACAGCACATCCCAAACATACAACTACAGAAACCACTGAAACCACATACAACATAAAAACTTACAGAACAATTTGTGTCTTCTGAAGTATCCTAGCAAGCAATAAATAAATGGAAGATAGAAAAGAAAATGAGGATGAGGATACATGAACAAGATAGGCGTACCCAGAAGTGCGAGTATTTGGTTCTCATACAACGAAAGTCTTAATGAATTAACCGCACAACAATTCCCCTTCCTTGAAGCATAGACCTTATGCAGATCTCTAACCTGCATGCACCTAATAGGAAAACATTAAAGTTAAATTCATATTCCAAAGCTTTGATAAACAGTAGATAGAAGGAATATGATTCTCAGATGACATAGAAACTACCTCCCATCAAGCTCTTGTTGCCTCATTTCCAAGCTTATTGATTCTATAATAGGATCAGAAGGCTCTCTTTCTGAAGAAATGGTTATATTATCTGAGAGAATTTTATTAACGGTATTTTCAGGGCAATACTGGTTTTTATTCTTCTTCCTCCCAAAGCACTTGCCAAAGATGAAGTTCCATTTATACCGCACACCATTTTCCCTGGGGAGTACCTGAGCAAATGAAGTCTTGGATTAAACCACATGATGCATAACATAATACAGAAAGAAGAAATGTGCATATTTTCCCAGAATCACATGCTTATAATTTATTAAAGCAACCATTTAAAGATGATGTGATTTAGACATAATGACATCTCATCATTCCAATCTTCTAAGAAAAATTATACATGAAAATGACTCAAAAAATTAGTCATCGCTTTTGATTTAGAGGCATATATATTGCAAAAGGACCGATTTACGCAACAGACATCAAAACAAGGAACACATAGGATAAAGAAAGTACCTTATCAAAATAAAGACCAATTATGCAATAAAGCATAGAGTCTAGCAGCATCATTAAGAGACAGACAACAAAACTTACTCCGGATGATGCCTGCATCAATATTGATCAGAATAAAAATTAAGAGAAGAGGATATCAAACTCATGTGGTAGCCACATACAATTGACATACCCGCCATATATTGCTCCAACGAAGTCCCACATGAGCACGCTCATAATCAGCAAAGTTTATTGATCCAAGAGCAAATGCCGTAGGTGAAAGCAAAGAAGCAATTATCTTCAATACCCTACAGGTACAACAATTAGTGTTGCATATGTGTATTCTACATGAAATATCCAACAACAAAGACAAGACTAAACTTTTACTTCTCCATGAACCTTAACCAGTACAACTTAAACCCAAAACCAGATGTACTTACATGGGCACTGATTCATCATTAACAGTGTAATACGGAAAGAAAGCACCAAGAAAGGAAAGGGTTCCAACTGCAACAGCTGTCTTTGCTCGGGTGAAAAATGTTGATATTAGAAAAGAGAGCATGATCGTGCTGAGTCCAAATAAAAAGAAGTACGTGAAGACTACTGTCTTATCACTATATTTGAAAAGACTTCCCATTGTACAAGCTGTAATAACCCCAGAGCACAATGCAAACTGCAACAGAAACAGAAAATTCAATAACAGGACAAAGTGCAGTTAGAGAAAAGGAAATGGAAAAATGTTAAGACTAGAACATTACACCAGATATTAGATGAAAAAGTTAGCTAAGCATTATCCAACATCCTAACATAAGTCAAAAACGTCGAACAGAAATTACTAAAGATGCACGTTAATTTGTGTTTTTATGGGAAACAGAAAAAAGATAAAGGTCACCAATCAAATATCAAACGATTCTGCGTCTAATATTAGACAGAGAGCAACACATGCAAGTTCTTTTCTGCAGAAAGGACAGCAACAAAATCTTGCCTGCAAAGCATATGTGATAAACCATGACAAATGGAAAATCTCATCCTTCAAACCCATCATGTAAAGACCCTCCCTTATTTTCTGCTCCTGCAAGTAAATACATAACACAGCTTAGGGGAAGCAACTGAGAACGTATAACTTATCACTTATAACTAGCAATAGGAAAAAAATTGAATAGGACAGTAGATTCATAACAGCTTTGTTTAAATTATACACATAAGAAGGTAACCTTCTCCAAAACAGAGTAGCTGATAAGCCGGGAGATTGGATACAGAAACCCTAGAAGGTACCTGCCAAGCAATTATTTAACCATCCAAAGCAAAAGAAAATGCTTGCTCATTACCATAAATTGCAGCAAGAAAAGACTAACATATTTCAAAGAAAACCAAAGAGGGAACAATACATACAACAAGCCCATTACACTCTTCACAATAGATTGAAACTCGTCATCAGTGTATTCTCGGGTTGGAAAGGGAACGATTCTTATTTTAGAGGGAAGTACAGTCCATGGTAGCTCAACGGGTAAAGCTAAACCAAGAGAAGAGTGCAATGATGCACCACCTACAGTTCGCTGGGAAGCAAATATGATGAATGAATCTACCACTTGCTGAAGCTGCAAAAGGGTACAAGAACATTCACACATGAGAAAAAAGAAATGATTTTTCCAAAATACAGGAATTTCAATCTAATCCATCCAGCCAATCATTTTCACTAACTCGGTACTGGTTTCAACCTGTGGACAAGTCTAACAGCAGGTTTAGGGTCTCTCTTTTCATGACAAATTAAATCACTGAACTGATGCTTACTATTTCAATTATCTTTCAAAGAGCATATTTTTATTTTGTCAAGCAGTAGAATGATAACTGAGAAATACTGAGCAAGGAACTATAATTTATAGAGATAAAAGGTAAGTGATTATACAGTCAGGAACCCGCTGAAACTGTATTGCATTGCTGGTACTGTATTGATTCCCATTTCCAGATCATTGATATAAGGTCCATTTGTGTCCATGATCGATTTAACATCAGGAAATCCAGAGAAAGCCCACGTGTGGTTCAAGCGGATGCTATAATCATATAAATCAGGACCTTGTTCATGGAATACCACAGCTCCTTTTATTTTGGGATTCGAACAATTCCTGAGTAAATGTGATGATGCTTTATCAACTCAATGTAAAAGGAAGGGAAAAGCCAAGACTGCTGATTTCAGAAAATTTACAATACTGGGCATTTAGATAAAAGCATATACAACATTAAAGGAACGCATTTGGTTACAAGGATAGAAAACAAAGGAACAAAATGCAGGCCAAGTCCACAAAAAGGAGTGAAGAAAAATCATTCCAAAACGTCCCATATTTCCTTCAAATTTCACCAACGAAAAACTGTCCCATTTTGCCCAGAACTAAGTAAAAGTTGCAGCCTATTGTAATAAAAATCCCAATCGACACATAGGTAATCAAAGAGAGGCTAAAAAATTCAGCAACCAGAGAGGGAAACTCGGACGTCGTATTCTCAAAATGAGTTCAAACTGAAATGGAGACGGAAATTTATCCTACTGAAATGGTTTCTTATCAGCAAAAAAACAGAAAACTCAAACTTACCTCACTTGGCTGCATGCAGCATAGCTATCTGAAGTTATGTATGTTTCCAGCTCAGCTTCATCTTTGAAAATTCTAGTAACCAGCTGCGGGATTATAAAAAAAAATAAACTAAAGTCAAGAAATCCATGTGATATCCAAAAAACAATCAGAGCAGCAAAAGGATGTTGCCCCAGCAGACTAAATCTGTACTGTGACAGAAAACGAGGATCTTTACGCGCATAGTTTGCAGAAGGTAAGACACCAAGTTGAGCGGTTTCAGTAAAACTAAGACTACAGAAACGAAAGGTACCTTAAGTTCCGGAAACTTTAGGGATAAAATGTTGATCATGTTCCTCGTTTCATCAGTGTCAGGTGCAAAAGCTAAATACTCCCCCTTGGCAAGCAAAAGTTCCAGAACTTTTGGAAAACTGGGAGAAATACCTTTGCCCACTTCCACAAGCGTGTCTTTCTCTATATTACTGCAGTAATCAACAGAACAACAACGCAAGATAAATTAGACTCCTGCAACAGAACACAATCCTCTGATAATTACAACGCAAGATGAATAAGGATTTCTCCGATCCATTATCGAATTGGGGCTACAGTGGCAAATCAAGAACACCGATCATGAGACTTACGGCTGAGCAGGGTGAATTCTTGTGTCAACCCGTGTCCTTACAGCTATCAGCAGCAACATTACAACCGTTGGAAGTAAAACCTGTCGAATGAAACAGGCTCGTGCTCTTAAGATCGACATCCCCGGCAAGGACCACAATCAAGATTCAAAACACAATCCCAAGAAACAAGAACGAGAATTTCACAAAACCCAGAATTCTTTCGTGAAAAAACAGAAAACCCAAGTTTCAAACCGGAGTTGATCATGCGAGAAAACTGAAAATTCGAACCCAGAACAAGCAAAACTCAGAGAGATAAACCTCGGCTAAAGTGACGAAGGGGTGTCGAGTTTTGAGGAGCCAGTTCTTGCGGAGCATGGCCTTCAACTGGCTCCTCCAAGTCCCCATATCGTCCGACGAAGATCAAGTTCTTCACTTTCCTTCCCAAAACCCAGAACACAGAAGAACCCTAAGAGAGAGAGATATAAAAAGAGAGAGAGAAAGAGAGAGAAAACTCCTCGAGGAAGGAAATTTATGGCGTCAAGAGAGAATAAACATGGGGAATCTGAAGAATGAATTTAAGGGAAGAAGAAAAAGAGGGAGGAGGAGGTGGCGAAGACTTGAGTTCGCAGCAGTGACATTTGGTGTTTCTTTTTTTCTTTTAATAAATACGCTCCCTCGACAGCACAGCGAGTGGAACAAACCGGAAAACTGTTGCCTTTTTTGTTTTTGTTTTTTTCAAAATCATAATTCAATCGCTTTCAACGTCTCTCTAGATTTTTTTTTTCCTCCTCAAAACCGTAATTCAAAGACATTTGAATTTATAGAAATTCGAATGATTCAAAGAATTTAAAAAAAAAAACAACGGATATATCTATATTTAGTTGGCGTAATAATAATATGATATCTCACTACCTGGAAACCCCTTGCGTCGGTGGCAAGTAGGGGCGGTTGAATGTGGGGCCTCCACAAAAACATTGTACACGTGGAATATTATGGTTCATTGTCGGTTTGTCTACATGTAAAATATTAGTAACGTTTCTAAGACGACGGCCAATGTCTCCAGTTGTAGTTGACCCTACATTATCAGCCGCCATGCGAATATTCTATTATTATTATTCCACCAAAAAATTTGTTCTGCTTCGTCAGAATTTTTTTTCTTCTCGGAAATTCTTCACACAAAATCTCGTATATCATTCCACTTCAAATGGGTAATATATTAACACTCTGTAATGGGGTAAAAACCAAATCTATATGCCACGTGTATGTACATTGGTCGGAATATAAATAAGTCTCTCTTCACATTCTATAGAGGAAAAGGCTCACTTATCTGGTGGAAGGTAACTGTAAGTGGAACAACTCGTCTCTGTCTTCGTCACCTGCAGCCAGAGACATCATCAGTCATTGTCTATGGGATGTAAGTAAGAACAATGGAACTAATGTCTACTCTGCAACTCATGGATTATCATCCCGAATTTGTTTCTTTCGTTGATTGGAGAATGCCCGAATAAAACTCTCGAATTTACGGGTTTAAAGTAGATACGAACCTCGGAATTATGCGATGATCCTGCTGGAAGAAGAGGTGCGAAGGGTGTCCATAGAATAGGATCTGTGAGAGGATCTAAGGCATTGTAGTTGGTGAGCAATGGCGCAGAGAGGAGAGAAGTAATCGGATACATGCTTAACGCAACTCCATGAGTGACTGGTTTCTCGGCTGCCGCCTTGCCATAACTCTTATTATTATCCCTGTTGGCGATGTTCTGGTTTGTGTTCTCGTCATTTTCTCCAGTGTTCTCTTGGATTTTCAGTACCTTCTCCTGGAGATTCTTGTAGGCAGGCGACTGGGACAAGATGCTCAAGGCAGATGATGATGATGACCATGATGATGATGAACTCTCTTTCCTCTTGTCAGGTGGGATGATGCCCAAGCTTGGCGCTTTGTATGGTTCTGTTGCTTGGGATGCCTGCTCCAGTGTTTTAAGCTCACGACCAATGTCTTCAAGCTTTGTATCTTCCGATGCTCTTGACGAAGATTCTGGTTGACGGGTTTTGTTGACCCCCCACCACTTGATATATCCTGTTAGATCGATCTTCCTTTCGAGACAAAAGCTACCTAGAAAGTCGCCTTCTGTCGCTCGATCATCACCTGCCCCTGTTAATTATATGATCAATTCATGGTATGTTTCAATTACCGATTGCTTTAAAGACAGATAATGCCACAACATCACAATTCAGTGCAAAGTCAAGACGTTTTGGAGTTGTTAGGCACTCACCATAGTGAATATTGCTTAAGTATTCAGGTCCAGGCATGCGACTGGCTGATGCATCCCATCGGCTGGTTTGAAATTGCAGAAGAATTAAAATGTAGCAGAAAAGTCAGTCATATAAGCCAATTCTGACAGAGGGAAAAACTCTGAAGGTTTGGAAGAGATGACACTATCACAAAGAAGTTTAACAGCTGAAATAAAGGTCCAAAGGATGATCCACCATGCATGTGCTTCTAAAGAAATCTCCTTTTAAGCAATATGAAAACTGAAAATGAGAGAGAGACAAGAGTCTGGTCGCTGGATAAATAACGAGTTACTCCTTTTCCTCATCTTTCTAAGAACAAAAAGCCAATTGTTGGTCGAACAATACCTTGGAAGCCCTCTATATTTTGCAATTCCCCTTGAAAAACCACTGCTTTTTCTGCCAAAGGGATATTTAGAGTGTCAGCAATAAATCAGTCCAAGAGCATACACACCTACTAAATGCATATGTACCTTCGAAGAGACGCAAGGTATTCTTCCCTTGAGACATTTTGCATTTCTTCAAGATCTCTTGCATAATCAGTCACCTACCAGAATGAATTACTTCGCTCTTAAGAGTGCAAATAGAAATTGCGAAAAGGAAAAGTGTATAAATATGAATGATGAGAACTGAGAAGGGCAGCTCCAAAAGCCAGGAGTGTATCCTTCTTTCACTAGAGAGAAGATAAAGAACTGTAAGATTATAGAAGGGAAAGCCAGAGGATTGAAGTGATTCAACCTCTGTCCATTCAGCTTTTCCAGCTTGCAAAATTCTGTGAACTAATCAATTTTTACAATAAAAGTTGCCCTTTCTAATAACAGGTAACCAGAATAAAATAATTTTCAGAGCGACTTCTTCCCTCGAATCATTTTGAATGTTGACCCAAATTAGTGGAAAGGGAAAACATATCTGGTTTTCAAGTTATTCATGCCCAATTGGATAAAGAATGACTCTCAATTCTAAGAGAGGAAAACAGTTACAAACCGAAAGCAAAAGAATTGAGTTACAGTAGCAAACTACCGGAAAATTTATAAGTGTCCCAGGTCCCCAATATTTTAAGGCAGCAAGGTCGTAAGCTCTAGCTGCAGCCTCTTCATCATCATATGCTCCTGTCGAATATGATTTGATTCTTTAGTCAAAGATAATCCTATTCGACACCTAGTGACTTTCAATATCTATAAACACAACAAATATCTATGGAGCTTTTAGCTTACCTAAATAAACTGGAGCAGCAAATATTGCATAAACCATGAAAAAAAAAGTAAACAAAAGAAAAGGATCAGCTATGATCATGCAGATAAAAATATATATTATGTTAAGGTCACCAGAAGAGAGAGAACAAAGGCTACCTTGTTTTCCCTTCTTATTCTGGTTCTGGTTCCAGGTACTTTTATCCCAAAGGTGGGCTTCATAACGACCTGTCCACCTATGCCTGGATTCAGTAAAGTTTAGAAACAGAGGACATCAACGTCTTCATCCACAGGACAAAAAAGGAAGCTGAACATCAGAACCGTAGCAAGCATAGAAGAATGCCACCAGATTTCCTCTTTCATCGATGCTATAAGTTGGAATTGGCTACTCAAGGTAAGAAGCAAAGTGTCGAATTATAGCTGCCTAAAATAGTGAACTCAAGAGGTACGACTAGCCTAAAGATCCAAGGAGATTTTCAACTCTTTTCTTCTGTTTCTCTCTCATGGTTACAACTCTTCTATGGTTATGATCATGATATCACAGAAAAGATCCCATTTCACACATCTGATTCTGGCTGGTACCCTTAGAATCTTAGAGTTGGTGTTAGAAATTAAGTAAACGGGTCATCCAATTATCTGATAACCAGATCGCTGAGGGAATGATCGTCTATTCCGGATGATTCTCCCACCGAATGGGCCTTCATTAATCTCTTACAGACGATACGATTTAAAAAATTCACGATCCAAAAAATCCTCTGTTCCCATCATCTTCTCTACAACACACATCGAAGTACCGACACGAGTAAACAAAACAACAAAATGCACAAGTGCCGCCGTACCTGGTGACTCCACGGTATATGGAGCTCCGTTTGCCGGCGGTAGAAGGAGGCATTTGGCTGATACGCTCTTTGGCTGTGCATCCTCTCTCCTTTTTTGCCTTCTTAAAACCTCTGTACAGCAACAGCTGATCGTTCACAGGCACAGTCTCCGAGCTCTCTCCTCCTCCGCCTCCTCCGCCGCCGCATCCCTCCTCCGCCTTAGGTCCGGGATCCGGTGAGGACATCGACGCCATGATCAACACCTCTCCCTCCCCAAAAAAATCCAAAAACCCTAGAACGCAGAAAAGAGTGCACTCGCAGAGCGACACAAGAGCAGAAGAGAGAGAGAGAAGTGATAAAAACAAAGGTTAATTTCAGTGTAAACCAATTTTAACCTTGTTTTTCGGCGTTTGGTTTTCACCTGTAATCCACGCAACGGGAAAAAATTACGACTCTTTTCAGTAAAATTACCATTAGGTCCCCGCTGTGGTTTGAGTTCTTTTGACGGGAAGGGCTACAACGGCTATGACGGGCATGAGGGCATTTTGGTAATCTAAATGCCTTGTCTCCGAATACTGTGTTAATCATCATGTCCACGTGGAGGTAACAGACACTTGCTGACGTTTATGCTCATGCCGCCACGTGTACTGTACCCAAACTTGCCTCGTCTCGTACAATATTCTACTCCATCTTTTTTGTCTTGAACCGGTGGAAAGCTACACGGTAATTAAATACATCCGCTTGTGAACAAGTAAAAAATAAAACGTTTTTTAAAATTGAAATTCTGCTTTGAATGTATTTTTATTCCCATTATATATATTATTAAATTATTTTCAACAATAATTGGTAAAATTTTATTAATTTGATTGTAAATTTTTCTTATTTCAAAATAAAATAAAACTAACCATTTGACTTTGGGTTAAAATACTCTAAAAGTATAAATCCAAACGGTTAATTGAGGATTGGAAAAAAAAAAAGAGAAAACAAATTTTATCTAAATATTAAACCTTTTGAACCAAATATTAAATTAATGCTTATTCAAACAGTGAATAAACGTTTGGAGTTCTGATAATCATGATGGAATATCATACAGAACTAGGCATAAAAATAGTATAAAGTTTACAATGAACGGAGCTCGGAGGGTAAAACTACAGTTTATAAAAACATTTGATCCCAAAAAAATGTTTTTTTTTTCACTTCTTCAGCGATTAATGTGAATTCCCACATGTAAGGAAACGTTACGTATATATATTTTTTGGGAAGAAGTATATTCAGACAATAATGTAATTCTTTATCATTAGGATTTAACATAGATTTTCACTGATGAAATGAAATAAAGTAAATTACATTATTGTCCTATTTAGGGGTTCTTTCTGTTATTGCAGCTTTGAACTCGATTGACAGGTGGCATTGACGCCACGTGTCTGGATAAATGAGGCCCGGAAAGATGTTAAAGCCCAATTGTTTAGGCCCAATAGATAACCCATTATTGTTCACTTGATTAGTTTGTTCTAAACTTTTTTTTTTTATTTAAAAAGAAATCACGGTTCTTAAACTAAAAAATGAAATACAGTTCAATAACCACTTAAAATAATTCCAATACATAAGAAATATTGAATTCCTTAAAATGTTAAGGTGAATATCAAAAGAATTTATTTTGAGTTATAATTTAAGAAACATACACCGCAATCTCCTTAAAAAACAAACAAACAAAGGACAAAGAGATACTTATAGATATAATATATATATATATATATATATATATATATATATATAACACAAGAAACTCGTGTTTTGCCATTATAAAAATAGGGAAAATAATATAAAAAGGGGAAAAAAAAAGACAACGGCATCTACCGTATCACGTCTCAAGTGATGCAAAATCATTTGAAAATACAACAATTACAAAATTTATTTTGTTTGGAGATGAGAAATTAAATGGTAAGGAAATAAAAAAGAGAGAAAAACTATAAATACCGAGGAAAATCGAAGCCACGTGTGAATAAGCTCCGTTGGAAGCTTCCAATGCCAAGATCCACCGTCAAAACAGTTATGATAAGAAAAAGTCAAAATCAAGCATAGTGGGCCCACACATGCCCACTGAAGTAAAAGGCCCATTAAGCATCACGCGATCTCAGCCGTCGGATCACATGGCCTAGTAATCCATCAAGGGGACAGATCTAACGAGGGGAGTGGACACTGGATAGGAGATATAGCTATAATACCCTCTCAATGCTACAATCACTTCCTCCTATACTCTCTAAATAAAAAATCAAAAAAAAAGTATTATTCATGACAAAAAAGATCATAAAACCTCATACAATACGATAAAGACAAAAACACCCCTCCTTTTTCAATTAAAAATATTCAAAATTAAAAAAAAAAAGTAAAGTTAAAAAATAATAATGGCTTTCTCTCTCCTAACCCACTGTTCATCTTCTTCCTTCTACCAAACCGTGAGCTTCTCTCTCTCAAAACTCTCATTCTACCATCGATTAGTGACATAAATCCTGATTTCTCTTTAGAAATTTCTGTTTCTCTTCAAATCTCCAGCGAAATTAGAGAGTTGAAGAAGATATGGCGTCGAGAGCGAAAAACACAACTTCAAATCATCGGTGGCCTCATCTTCATCTTCCTCCGAAAGTGAGAACCATAAACAAATTTCAGAGTTAAAAGAACAAATGGTAGGTTTGAAGTTTGTTGGATTTTGAAATGTATTGTTGTTGAGTTGAAGTTTGGATTTTGGGTTTTGTAAGTAGAAATATATGGTTTTAGGTTTATGAAATTTTGGGAATTTCGAAATAGAATATTGGGTTTTAAGTGAAATAATTGTTTGGCATGTGAAATGATTTAAATCGAGTTAAATGAGTCAGTTTGGGTCACATGGTGATTTAGAAAAATTAAATGGGTAACTGTATCATATGGGTCGATATATAGATGTATGAATGACATGATGATTTGAGTCACATGGTCACATGGTTACAGTATCATATAGGTCACATTGTGGTATGGTCACATGGTCACATCTTCATATAGATTACAGGATTACAGGTCATATGGTGGTATGGTCACATGTACCATGTCACAGGGTCACATATCACATGGTACCATGTCACACGGTCACATGGATTTTGAAACATGATCCAGAATGCTAACATATATTTTTTTTGTAGCGCATTGAGGAGACAATGTATGATATACGACTCTACGTTTTATAGAATTCGGTGACTTAAATAGAAAGCAATTACATGGTTAATGACACTATTTTCACGGAGCACATCAAGTGGTGAGAAAAATCAGGTGACTTGCCAATTTTAATTTGGGCGATCTCGGGCCCTACTTCAAAGGACATCTTCCACTTGGATGTGCAAGAACATCGTTGACTAACTTTTATTTCAGCTAATAATTTATCTCTTTTTTTATGAACATTAAGTATAACATTCTTTTATTTGTTTATTAGAATACTAAGTTATAATTTTTTTATACTTACCGTAACTTTTCTACACACTTGGATGATACTAGACTCCACAAGAAATATTGCATGTAAAAATTTTGGAGGAAAAATTTTGGAGGAAAAATTGTTAGAGAACAAAATTTGGATTTAGGTATTTTAAACTCAAACTATTATCATGTTCACATGGTCACATGAGACCATATTGGTATGGTCACATGGTACCATATTCATATGGCCACATAGTACCATGTTCACATAGTCACATGGTGTCATGGTGTCATGGTACCATGGTATCACGGTGCCATCTATTTTCATGGAATTCAGAGTATACTAAAGAAGGAAGCGTTTGACGAAGTACTTCTTTTTTATTTGGAGGAATTGACATCATCGAGTTCATGACTTGAAAATTCGTTCGACAAAGTCTTCTAAGAAGAAGAAGAAGGGAAAAGGTCTGATAAATGAAGAAGTAGAAGATGAACGAGCAAAAGAAGACGAAAAACAACAATTATATGTGATGACAATGTCACCAAGATACGTGAGCAGTTGACATTCACCATATTTGTCAATAGAAATATTCAAAAGTAGAATTAAGAACTTATTTATATTATGAACTTATTTCTTTTTGTTATGACATTTTGTTTGTTTATTATAAACCTACAGAATTTTATGTTATGATATTATGTTTTATATTTATTTTATATTTGAATATATGAGATGAAAAATATTGGAAGATAAAAAATTTGGGTTGAAAAATTTTGGAGGGAAAAAAATGGGTTAAAAAATATTGGAAGATAAAAAATATGGGTTGAAATGTTGTGTCCCACCAAAATTAGTGTTGAATTGTCAACCGTAACTTTTTTGCACACTTGGATGACACTGGGCCCTACCAGAAATATTACATGTTCAAACTGGGACCCACAATATTTCGGTCACAATAGGTCACAGTTGGTCACAAGGTCGATTTAGTGGATTCTTTCAAATGAATCGATCTGATTGTCATCATATCTTCCATATGCACCATTTGAACTATATTTAACTATAATAATTGAGTTATTCAAATTTTGTGTGCAAAAGTAGTTCTAAAAAATGTGATACATTAGTGTTCATAGTCTTTTATGAAGAATTTTGATAATTTTGGTCTTTTTGTATTATAAACTCGTTTTAACGTTTTGTAATTTTATCATCAACATAATATTTGAGTTCTTTATACCTTATAATAACAGACCAAAGCTTCGAAATTACGTTTTTACCTGTATTTACCTTCGTCACTTGGTCACAGGTCACATCCGGTCACAATGGTCACATAGTGTAAAATTGACATTGGTCACATTGGTCACATGCTGGTCACATGGGACCCAACCACTACTTATATGAGATAATTTATTTACTGTTTTTTAATATGTAGAATGAAACCAAAGTATTATAATGCATTATTTTAACACAATATTATACAAAGATCTTAATGTTTTAATGTACATATATTATATAACATTATTATACAATTTATATTTCTTTATTCATTCAAAATTAGGGTTCCACTGAAATTTTGTTGATGTTGATACTCTTGTTGTGACATAGATCCACTTTTGAACTACACTAGGATTTGAAAAGCGGTTTTGTTTAGGTCTCTCACTTTTTTGTTTGTCTTCCAATTTCTTTGTACCCTTCATAGCTTTGCTAGATTTTGATACGGGTTTGCAACTATGCATAAGATTTTATTTTCTTACACTCCAACGTTTCGAGTTTAAGATCAATGTCGTACGCAACTTCCAATTACAGCCGGATCCAGTAACTTCCAACACTCTTTGGTTTTTCATCACCTTTCCTTCTCATTCATATTCTCCATTCTTTTTCATTATCCATTTACTATCATACAGAAAATATACAATTGTGATCTCTTATCTCGTCCGTCTATAATAGTTGTAGAAAACATACGTACAAAATGCAGATCAATTCGACTATTCTGGATACAGTGACCATGTGACTATTATTATCATTTTTGACTATGTGACTATGTGATCATATGAACATAGTATCATGTGATCATTATTACCATTCGATCATTTAATTTAAATCCATATGATCATTATTATCAATCCGACTATTATGGAGATCATGTGATCGTTTGATCATGTGAACCTGGTACCATGTGACCATATGAATATGGTACCATGTGACCATGCGAATCTGGTACCATGCGACCATGCGAACCTGGTATCATGTGACCATGCGAACCTGATACCATCCGAACCAGATCTTCAACAAAGGACAAAACTTCACAAACATCACCAAGTAGAAGAAAATAAGTGGAAAAAACATCATTTTTCAACAATTAGAAGAAAAAAGGTAGAAGAAACATCACTGTTCATCATGTAAAACCGACAATCATCAACGTGGATGAAAAAAAATAAGATTTTCACAATTGCTTACCTATTTTCAACTTCTTTGACAATTTTGCACTGATTTTGTTTTGATTTCTATCGATTTTGGAGAAAAAATTGAAAGATTTAGATGAGAGAGAAAGTGTAGGAGAGAGAGAGCTCAATGTCGACAATGGAGAGAGAGACAGGAGAGAGAAACCGAAAAGAGAGAGGAGAGAGACAACTAATTTTTGGAAAAATTTTTTATTAAAAAATTAAATACAAAAGGGTATTTTAGTCATTACTAATTAAAGAAGGTATATTAGAAGTTAAATTTTTTTTTTTAAAAGGGGAGGGTATGAGTGGAAGTTGATGTAGCACATTAAAGATATAACGGAAGTTGTCCCCACTAGATAATGTAGTAACTCTGGCTCGTAGATGTTTTTCCTGTTTCCCACCCAACTGCATATTCAATACACAGCATCGTATACATATCTGCCAATTTTTTCGTACGGATCTTACCATATTATATAATACATCTGCCTGTATTCTTGCTACTATAATAATAAAAATATTATTGCCAGGAAAAAAAATATTATTGTCTAAAAGGCTGTGAATATTTTGAAACTTAAAAAAAATATGTTTTTAATACAATAAAAAGATACGTATATGATGCAAATACAAAAAGGCGAAATTCGAGAACAAAGCCAAAAAAAAAGCTACACGATCACCCCTCGCTAGTCATCGTCGTCCCCCGCCTCCGCTCCTCTCTCCTCGACCCCACCTCCATTTTCACAGAGAGAGAGAGAGAGAGAGAGAGAGGGAGAGAGAGATGGATTTCATATCAGCGAGAGAGATGAAGACCACTAGCAGCGAAAGCAAGGGAATGGGTTTGCTTCTGGTTTTCTTCCCCCACCACAACTCCAGAAACACCTCCATTGCCGTCCATAATCCTTCTTCTTCTTCTTCTTCTTCTTCTCCGGCGACTATCCGGCGATGCAGATCTTCCGGTCTTCTTCTATCCAAAGCCCGATCCATCATTTCCATCTGCGCACTCCTCTTCCTCACTCTATTCCTCTTCACTCTCTCAACCTTCGAACCCTCCACCGCTTATCCCGCCGTCGCTTCCCAGACCCATCGCCGGTTACTCCTCAGACGCGACGTCGGTGACAAAATTTGCCATACCAATGTGTCCCGATTCGCTCTCCAGGGGATGGGTACTCTGTATTTGAGAGGAACCAGGGCTATGCATGATTTGATCATCGCCCATGTCGGTTCTGAATCGACTGAGGATGATGTCCGGTTGTTTTTGCGGCTAATGCACCGGTCAGGAGTCACTTCCCGATGCGACGTCGTATTCTTCTTCACTTCTGCTTCGTCGGCTTCGAGTTTCGGTGGTGTGATCGAGGAAGAGAACGACTCGTTCTTAAGACTCGTCGGTGTTCGCCGAAACTCGAATTCGACTAACCCGGTCGACTCGGTGTGGGGATTTGATGTGACCCGGTTTGTGAAGAACCACAAGAAGAAAGAGACGGCGGAGCCAATCTGGGGGAAGAAGAGTGGAGTTCACCGAGTTGGAAACGAGCCGGCTTTGAACAAGAGCGATACTATCGTACTGAGCCACGGCTCGGTCGTGGGTTTCGACGTTGGCGAGTTGGACCCGGAAAACACGCTCTCCGGGTTCATGGATCATGTGCCGATGAGCTTGAGGAGATGGGCTTGTTACCCGATGCTTCTGGGTCGCATCAGGCACAATTTCAAGCACGTGATGCTTGTCAACGCCGAGACCTCCTTGTTTCTCGGTGACCCATTAACCCGGGTCCGGAACCGGAGTCCCGACTCAGTCTTCGTATTCTCCAAACAGAGCATGAAAAACTCGGACAGAACTCAGCCCAACTCGGTCGTTAACCCTGCGATTCTGATGGGCGGAGCCAAAGGAATCAGAGAACTATCGAATGCGATGCTGACGGGAATCGTGAGGGCAGCGATGCAGCACAAGAAGAAGAACTCGGTGTCCGAGACGGTCGTGCTGAGTCAACTCGTTGAGAACGTACACATGACGAAGAGTTTTCGGGTGGTGACGACGAACGAGTCGGTCCCGGAAGCGAGTTCACTAGCCGAGTTGAGGACGAGAAACTCGGCGGCTTCATCGGTGAAGGGACACGACATAATCCAACGAAGCAATGACAATCATGCTGATGTCAGTACGGTAATTAGGAGACATATTTGTTCATCCGAATTAGATTCTTCTGTTTATATGGACTGTTAGCATAACTACACCAGTTGATAGGGATTTTTTCACTTCAATTTTTTTTAACTTTTTTTTCTATAATTTTTTACACAAATTTTTTATTCATCAATGTTAGATGTATCTCATAGTTAGTCACTAATCAAATATAAAACAGTGATTAGCCAATAAGCCAACACGATTACAAAAGGGGAAAATATGATGGGCCCATTGATTAGTGAGTGCCATATTTTACGGTCTCTCCGCTATGATTCTCTCACATGTTAATCTTACCATCAATTATTTATTAAAAATTTAAAAAAAAAACTTTATAACAATGTTCCTAAAAAGTTTTATTTTTTTTAAACATAGGCATCTTATTTTTTCCACGAGATTCTTTGATTCCTCCAAGACTTTAACATTCTTCACGGTCCCCACACACTCCACCCATGACTTCATATAGTTTTCATACGCACATGTAAATCGATTACACACACATATATATACACGTATGCGTGTGTCCAATATAGTATTAGATATGCTTATGGTATACCATGGATAAAGGATTTCAAATTCTAGATACTGTGATTCATAGTTTATCCCAAAACAGTGAAATACAAAACACAATATATATATATATATCATACCAAATATATATATATATATATATATATATAATAAATAAAAGGGACCTACCTATGTTTGTTTTTGGTCACGTACCGTACTACCGCTCCCCATGCAAGTGCCCAAGTCCCAAGCTAGGTTACAACAACAGCATCAGCCAAAAAGACACCGACACTCTCTGGAGATGACACGTGTCATCATGCCATATGTTCCTGACACCTTATCATGAAAAACCTCGTGTATTGGCTTACATCAGAGTGGGGGCCCTCTTATCGAAAATGAGAGTCAGTAAGCCGACTGGTTGTTCACTCTGGCTGAAAACGGCACGTAGTTCACTTCCATGGTTAACAGACATCCCACACGCAAAATATCCAAAATAACCTCCATTTCCTATATCTATTTCTAAGCGTACCTTTTTCCAAATATGATCATATGATTAGAATCATAGTATGATTACATTATCATAATATATGATATTCAATTTATGAAAGTCTCAATGTGATATATGATCACCAGAAATTTAATATTATGATCAATGTGACCATTATGACCCTAAGGTTATTTTGGTTACATATGAAAAAACACAGCAAAAACACAAGAACGAATGAAAGATTTTTTTTTTTACCACACAGCTGTCTTAACAAAAACACACAACAGTCTGTGATCATTACAAAGAGACATCATCATGATGAAAGAATATGAAAAAATAAAATCAAACTCAGACCCACCAATAAAAAAAAAAGGATACAAAAATAGAAAAACTAAAAGAGAGGAGAAAAGGGCAAATCAAATCAAATCATATGCTGTTTTCCATCAGATGAAAACAATAACACACCTGCGGGGACATGGCACATCAAATCAATGTATTTTGGAAAATCACCTGATTTTTTTTTCTTCTTCTTGGTATATGAAGAGACCACAAGCCAGAGTGAAATGCAGAAGAATGGGAAAAGGAATAGATTTTTGGTGGGGGGGGGGG